GTCCTTCCTCTCCTTTCTTTTCCTCCTCGACCACCCATCCCTCGCTCCTCCTCCTCCTCCTCCTCCTCTCATTTACATGCACATACACAACCACCACCATCGCGCCCCGACCACCACAATTTCCAATTGTGTATTCGCGCGCGCAAACACACGAAAGCCACATCGCCAGACACGGCTCGATTGTTCGAGCGCGCACCTCCCTCTCCCCCTCCCCTCCCTCCAGGTCCGACTATATCGAAACAACGTCGGTACAAAATCGTTATTGTGCAGGCACACCAACCCTGCCAGACGATTTACTACAAAATTCCACTAATCTGAGGATTCCAAAGCTATTCCGTTTGTCTTGTTTCTCCCCTTTCTCTTCCCCTTTCCCTTCTCCGTGCACACGAAACCCCGCGTTACAGGGGTATACACGGGGGTTGAAAAATAATTTTCGTGATGTAACCGAGTTCCACCACCGAAAGGATTTTCCCTTCTTCTTCCACTACTAACCCAATATCGCGTTTTGTCTCTGTGATATTGAATTCGACCGGTTCTCAATAGTGCAGACGCGTTACGTAAACGTTGGTAACACCTTGGTCGAATAAATCGTTGAGATGTAATCTATTATTTCGTTTCCACAGTGGAATCGAATCTTTATATGATATGAAAATTTAAAAAAGAAAAATTCGATTCTCGTATACGCGTGTCGAAGAGAGAGTATCAAAAGTTTATAATTAATTTTAATAATAATAAAAGGACGTGTTGAAAAATGTAACGTGAGAAAAATATCGTACAAATTATTATCAAAAGCACAAGTTTCTCTCCAAGCAGATACAAAAATATATCTCGCTTGGGGAAAATTTACCTTCGAATTTTTATTATTCAATAAGTTTATTATTCACGAGCCGCTGCTTTATCACTCTTCTATTTACTCGATCAAATGTCGCGAGCCGTCACTTTTTATTTTTCAAACCTTCGTATACAAAAGAAATACATCGAGGAACAAGCTGGAAAGAAAAACTTGAGTGGAAAGAAGCGAGGCAGGGAACCTCGTTGAACGCGGTATCGGCCAGTATCCGCAATTTGTCGATTCCGCGTGGAAGCAAAGGGGAAAAAAGAATACTGAAAACGAATACTTCCACGGTTTGGTTTGAAAAATGATCCGGAACCGAAAAATAAAGGAAATCGGCATGCTGAAAATCCTACGATCTCCGCCTATTTATTTGTCCCCGCACAGAGTTTCGCGCCCCGATGCATTTTTCTCATTTAAATTCGAAGCTATATCTTCTACATACACGGTGGACCAAATACATATTTGGAGAAACGATTTCGATGTGCACTCGTACGCGATATCTACAATATTTTTTCCCCCTCTCCTGTTTTCTATCTCGTTCTTCGATTACCCAACACTCGTATCGCCTATGCTGGTATTTTTCCTGTTGCCGATCAAGCACACGTGTCTCTTTATGGAGGATGTTCCGAGAGGACGTAGTTCTCGAAATGGAACGCAATTTTTCGCGATAAACGCGTTGGAGATGCGTTATTATATTACTAATTTCTGAGAGATTAGATATGGAACGGCAATTGTATAAAAATAATATTTTTTTTTCGTAAAATTTTTTTAATATCGAAATAAAACGTGAAACGTTACGGTGAAACGTAGGGAAAGAAATTATAGTAAATGTATATTTTACAAATATAAATAAAAAAAAAAACATACGCAAGATTCTTCTTCTGCGAATAATTGAATTATTCCAACGGGTTATAACAAAAATCTCGTTTATTTGTCGCGTCAATCAACTCCTGTACGTACGTACCGTTTTAAATACATATTCGTTGGGAGGGGAGTGTGTGTGGAAAAGCGGTGGTAAATCGATGGAAACACCTCGTCCCCGTTGTCTCTGCAAAATCGCGCGTGCCGGGGGAAAAACGAACATCACTGGCTTCTTATTAAGGCAGGGGTGCTCTTACAAAAAAAGGAAAAAAAAAAAGAAGAAAAAAGAAAAAAGAGAGAGAGAGGAAAAAAGGCAGCACCCATTGTGCGCCCCTTCCTTTCCTTTCTCCCGTATCGACGCCCTCCGGTCTATGCAGCAGCCCAGGCTTTTTCCTTCTATTTTCCTCGCGATAGAAGAGGCGGCTTGCTTACGCCATCGACAAATGTTCATCGGTCGAAATACCGACGTTTTCTCCGTCCTCGCCGCTATTTTTCACCCTTCACCGTCACCCTCTCCCTCCCTCTCCCTCGCTCTCTCTGATTTCTTCTATTCCTCACCCTTCAACCGTGATCATTCTTCGAGGCCGCGTAATGCCTCGAGACCCATCCTTCTCCTCGTGTCAAGTCCCCCGATCATCTTTCTTAATCAACGCCCTGTGGAATCGCGGCGAATTAACGGTGTCTCTACATATACACACGTGTGTATATGTGTGTGTGTAAGAGTTTTCAACGTCTCGGTGTAATTGCCTCCCGAGTAATTGTGCCAGATTGATCGATGTTATTTGTATAGTAATTCGGTATTAGGAGGGGGGAGAAGGAAAAATTTTTTGAGACGTCTCGAGAATCCGATTTTGTCCCGATTTTGAAATATTTTGTATATTATTTGATTATTCGAGATTATAAAATGGAATTTTGTCTTTATAAATCTCTTCGAACTGAAATAATTCGCAAAATCAACGTTATCTAAACCCAAACTGCAAACTGTAGCCAAATATCTCGTTAAAGAAGAACCACTCCCTTTCCAAACGAATCAACCCCTAAACTAATACGTTCATTTAATCGCAAAGTCAATTTCCATGAAACTTTCCTAATCCAATTTCCATTTCTAAAAATTTCCATATATACCAGTTCTTAAATAATTCCAATCTTATTACCTTCTAAACCCTTTTCACCTCGTTTTATAAATTAATATTTAGAATAATTTTCGTAGCGTGTCGCAATTTTTAATATTAATAAAAAAAATAAAATTGCAATTTTCTTCCACAATTAATCCAACAACACTGTCCCTTTAATCGTCGCCAACTTCCTCGAACGATCTTTCCTTCTCGCAAAAAACGCGAAAAACCGCGCATTTGTCGACGAAACGGCGAATCACGTATATTTCCGTTTTCACGAGTTGTCCACGATTCAGAGGCTCGGTTAAGTCTCGGTTTATACCGAGATATGGTATAAACCAGAAAAAAAAGACGCGAAGAAAATGGTTGAGGGGATGCTGGATTAAAAAAAAAAAAAAGAAAAAAAGGAAAAAGAATTGGTAGCAACGCAGCAGATTACGGTCAATGTTGCGCTCCGCGAGTTTCGTTCTGTTAATTAAAGAGCCGCGTGTATATACGCGTACACGCATCACGGGAGAATGCACAGGCCAATTCGTTATGTCAGTTAATTTCTATAATGCCGGTGGCAGAGGCGAATGCAAAACAGGGACACGTGGCTGGCGCCGAAGCGAAATTCGAGTCGTACCTCGAATAAAGTTGCCGCGGCTAAAGGTAATGCAAACTGTAAAATCACGTAATCTCTTTGCCGGCTGTGGACGGCCCGAAAATTTGCATTCTAACCGTGTTCGCGGAATTACGCGCGATTCGATCGAATTCGCGTATTAAAACCCCCTGTCGATTCCACCCCTAACAATCTAAACTCGATATTTAAAGACCTCTTTATTCTTTTTTTTTTTTATTAATAATACGAAGAATCAGGAATAATTTGTTCGTTTCTTTTTTAATCTAATATTTATAATTCAAGAGGTATTTATAATTTGAAGAAAAGAAAAAGGTGTCGACGAAACAGTGGGGTTAATTTTTTAAAGATAAGAAGAGATTAAATATTTTACAACGTTGCAGGTGAGATCTCTATTTCTCGTTTAGGAAGGAAGGGTCGAAGTTTAAAATGGATTGGAGAGGAGGGAGGAAATATGGCATATTATTTTTTATTATTTTCCAGGCAGTTGTCAGGGAGCTAAACAGACTGGGAATGCTAGTGGATCTCTCTCATGTCTCGACAAGGACTATGAGGGCAGCCCTGCAAACGACGAGAGCGCCGGTGATTTTCTCTCACAGTGCTGCCAGGGCACTCTGCAATTCCACCAGAAATGTGCCAGACGACGTGCTTAGAAATCTGGTGAGTTTAGATGTGCGACCACGTCCATGCGGGATAGTTAAGGGTGTATGGAAATGGGATGGTGGAGGGTATAGCGCAAGGTTAAGCCAATTTCGATACTCGATCAGATCAGAGCATTATTATGCGATTCCATCCTCCACGAATTGGACATCGTACAAATGTCTTTTTCCTGCCTTCCATCCTTTTATTATTTTTTTTTTTTTTCCCTCCTTTTTTCAAACTTGGAACGGATGAAGGAAATGATGCGAAATGGAATAAAAGTAATAACAATCCAATAGAAATTTTTTTATTACAACATAACATTTTGTTTTTCTAGTTTTATCTTGACACGAAACACTATGTTTAAATTTACTTTTAATTTTTTTAAACATATGGATTCTATATTCAATATTATTTTTAATTCGCTCAGCGCCTTTATTCGTTCTTTTTCCTGCCTTCATTCGGTCCTTTTATTATATTTTTTTTTTTTTTCTAAATTTGGAACGGATGAAGGAAATGATGCGAAATGGAATAAAAGTAATAACAATCCAATGGAAATTTTTCTATTACAACATAACATTTTGTTTTTCTAGTTTTATCTTGACACGAAACACTATGTTTAAATTT